TGGACAACCACTGTGGGTTCCTTGTTTGTTCTTAATGTTAGTGGACAAAAGCAGTTGAACAGTTTGAAGTTTAATATTCAGCACTTTTTAAAAAAAAAATTAGAAACTTCAAATAAAAGGAACATTTTTATCTCTATTTTATGCATAAACAACTAAACAGGCTGAAGTTTCTCTGTGCTTTAAAACTCTTGACAGATGTAGCCTGCTCTTTTCTCGCTTCCCCCCCCCATCACAATAGCAGGCCTTCCCCTTCCCTTTCGGTCCACCAGTCAGTCCCCTCCCTCGTGTTTGTTTATGCTGACGGCCACACCCATGTGACTGCAGCCGGCCAATCGGGTGGCAGCAGTCGGGCATGACGTCACTAACTAGCTGGTTCCCTCCAGCGGCAGGGGAGCTTCATTTTCTGCTCAGCGTTCGTGCTAAAATGGAGGCTGGCTCCTCGCCTTAGCCCGGGCTGCCCTGTTCTTCCCTGCCTCCTGCCTCGGCTCACTCATGTTGGCATGTACTAGCACTGCCACCGGGATGGTTGTGGACACACCGAGCTCGAACGGGCCCTTCCAGCCTACGGCCCTGATGCATTTTAGAGGTGAGAAGAGCAAATCTGCTCTGTTTTGTTATGTTTTTGTATTTCAAGAGGAAACTTGCAAAAATGTAGGCATACAGCCCTCCTTGATAAACTCTTGTGATGCAAGAAACAGCATTTGTAGTCAAGGCGACTGTGAATTTTTTTATTTATTTTTTTTTTTGTTTGTTCTTGTTGTTGTTGGCAGGAGTGTGTTTGGAGGAGGAAGCAGGTGGTAGTGTTTGTATACCAACACGAAAGGGATTCGCCAAAAACGTTACACGGCTCGTTTCAGTCGCTGAGAGAGTGAAAGAGTGATAGTTTTGCCTGCATCTCCCCTCCCCCATCTTTACTATTGATGTGTAGGAAGTTGGGTCAAAGCCTGCTTTCAGATTGAGTCTGTCCGTAATGTACAGTGTTTTGTATATCTGCTGTAATCTGACACTCGCAGGTTGCTGGAGTGTCGCTGCTGCTGCTGCACATTTAGCGGGTTTCGTAACTATATCTGTATTCCTCCTGCAAGCCCAAGTTCCTTTACCTACTGATGGAGATCAGCGAGTGTTTTAAACTCGAGCCTACTCCTGACATTTATCAGCACAAAAAAACCTCCTCCTCCACGCTTAGCCTGCGCTAGCATTTAAAAAACAAGGCTGTGTGGTGACGCTTTATTAGTTTGATCAAACTTTCAGAAGGCGACTCTTAAAGCAAACTCTGTTTACAACTGGCTTCCTGTGTGCAAGCTGGAGTCTTTAGAAGAGTAAAGGTTATGTTCCCAGCCATGCAGTGTTGCCAGTGTGTGAAGTCTGCAATTGCACAGCATGTCTCTTAATATTTTAGGGCGGCTCAGAAACCCTAGTGCTGTTGTGTAACTGGAGCCGATAGATGTTGTGGGTCTGGGCCGGTAAACGGGCCGAGGTCTGATTAACCATTTATACAAGCAAACACGAAGCCAGACTGGAAGTAGTTTGACATGTATTCATTTTCCTTAAGTCAATCTGTTCACAAAAGTATAACTTGTGTTTATTTTACATAAATGATTGTTGTTTATTCCTGTTTGTGCAGTAAAGCGTGTCTCCTTCACTTTTTTAATTTCGTGTTTTAAAGTACATGCTGGATGGGAGTTGTTAGTTTTGATGCATGTTGTGAACGGGGGAGCATTTTTGATTACTTCCGTTTAATCAAGAATCATCAACTTCATGCATGTGGGGAAAAAGTGCTACTATTTCATTGCTTATTTACCTGAATATCTTTTTTTTTTTTTTTTTTTTTGGAACTCGGCCTGAGGATTTTAATTTCGAGCAGCCTGCTTGTGGTGCTTTTGTTCCTGTTACAGCATACACGATCTTATCTTCCTGTGGCTTTCATGTATAATTAACCGGCATAGAAATGGATATCTCGGCATGATTGGCCATTCACAGGTCACAGACAGTCCAGCTGAAAACCAATTGCTTCACATCTGGAAAGCTTCTAATGCGGAATATTCAAAATGTGTCTTTTCGAGCGCAGTTTTAAAACGCTGCAGTTCTCTGAGAGTGCTTGCTAAAGCCGAGACCTAGCTTTTTATCCTGCGGTGTGGTTACATGGATCCTGTTTTGTTGCTGGTAACTGCTGACTTGTTTCTAGATTTTTTTCTCTTAGCGTCAACTCAAACCGTTTTTTTGTTCGCGTCTTCTAGCTAATCGTTTCACAAACATGTCATTCTGCTTTAAGAGCATGGGACAAATAAACAATCACACTCGCTTGTTTGTACTGGCACTGGTGTTCTGATCTCATCAACGTATTTCATTTGCATAAAAATCTCTCGGTGAAATCGACAGAAAGCCGTGGTTCTGCATTGCTAGGGTATCAGATTGTAGGGAGGAAAGGAGGAAGCTTATGCAGAAATTCTACCCTCAAATAATTAAGTTATATTTATTTGTGTGCTTACTCATCATGTGGTAAACACCCAAAATCAAAGGGTAATGTAATGTTGAGGAAAGTCTTGTTTCTAAAATTATCTACAATCAACATTCAAGTCTGAAACTGTCTGCACAAACGTCATCTCCTAAAACAGACTTATCTGATCATTACTAGGTGTTTTTTTTTTTTTTCCCTTTGCTTTGCTTTGCTTTTCTGAACTTGCATCATAACCCTGGCTTTCTCCACCTTTGCTGGTAAGAGATGCATTTTCAAAGAAAACATTGTAGTTTTCATCTACATCTGTCATCCAGATAAAAACTCTCAAGTTGTTTTTGATTTAAATCATGATGCAAACTTTCTGGAGCAAACTTTCCAGACAACTGCAAAGATGCAGAAACACTCAGCCAGTTTAAATCAAGCCTGAAATCCCACTTGTTTAGAGTTTCCTTTTGATTATTATTAAATGGAACATTGATCGACATTTGATTTGTTTTTGCTTGACGATTTTATGATTGTTTTCTGCATTAATTGTTTTTAAGGTGTAAAACAGTTTAGGTCAAGTTTTTTCATGGAAAAAAAAAAAAAAACTTGACCTATGATTTAATGAAGATGTACAACTCATCTCCAATTTGTGAAAATCGTAGAAACGACTTTCTTAAAAACCAAACACCTCAGCTCTCGCCATCTGACGTCTTCGTCTGACTGCGTCTGCAAGTCAGCGCCGTGTGACCGTAGTGCAAGATAGCCGTAGCCGACATGCATCTCTGATTAAGCGTGGTCACCCACCGGGCCTAAGTGTTGGCTCCATTTTGCGGCCACCATGGCGACAAATTACACTCATGCAGCTGTTTAAGGAGGAACTGAGTCACGATGAAGTGATTAATGCTGCTCCACGGACAGGTTTCATGCTGTGATCTTTTACGTCTCTTATCCCGCCGTGTTGGAGGCGAGGGAATTGTGTGGCACTATTTGTTGCTTGTAGCTCATTCATTGGTGTGTGTGTTGTTTTTTTTTAATGCCATTTGAGCATTTACTTGTTGCTACAGACATTTTCTAAACGTTGTTTTGCTTATTGGCAGACTGTGTCTGTGCCTCTCACCATGTGTGCTTTGAGTGCCAAATTGCTTTGTGACGGCAACAGTGTGTTTACGCTCCTAACTGTTGGTGGAATGAATGAGATTTTTGTGCGACATGCAGTCGTTGCTTTAAGAAGTGAAGTCTGACTGCTGTCTTTCAAAATGTGCTGCAGGTCAGTCCAGTTGCTGCACAGGACCCTTCTTATTTGGTTCTGAGTGCAGCTGAAGGTGAAAGGGTGCATTAGAGCTGCTTTGAACATGTCTGGATGGATGGACAAGGCCTGTGGCTTTATTACGAAGTGTTTCCCCCCCCCCTACTGTTGAAACCCTTGCTTTGCTTTTTCCTCTTATAGGAGATGATGTTTCAATAGATGACTTATACAGGCTCTCCTAAATACTCGGTGGTATGACTTAAAAATAAAATCAGATTGTTTTTTTCACATCAATTTAAATTTTTTTCCTCATTTCTTTTCTAGAAATGACATTGCAAATGTGAGAGAATGTTTTCAAAAAGCGTCTTTGATTTCAGTCATTGCTTCTGATTACTGGGGCCAGACTAAGAGAATTTTTCTTTATTTATGAGAATAACAGTCATAATATTAACAGGACATTCCTTAAATTACGAGACAGAACTTGTTTAATGAGCGCGAGTAGCTGAGTCTGTGGATCTTTCTCAGTCGTTTGTTCAATTGTTTCAAAGTCCCGCTGCCGAAAATAATTTGATGGTGATTTGTTAAAAGATGTCACATTATCCTATCAGTAAAACCGATGGGAAAGTATAACTTCACAACATGTTCAACATTCCTCAATTTTTATTTATTTTTTTTTATTATTTAGGATTTGTCATTCTCTCAAATTATTATTTAATCTTCTAGTGTTATGATTTTATTCTGCTAATTTTAAAGCTTCATTCTCGTTATTTTGACTTTATTGTCGTACTACTATGCCTTCATTCTCAGAATCAGAAAAATTAAAAAGTCGTATTCTGGCCCCAATGTTCAATCGTAGATTCGACCGGAATAGTTTAGCTCAATTCGTCGAGGTTTTCTCAAAGCTGAAATCATTTTTGTGTGTTCAAACTGACAGTTAATTATGCTAATTATAACATGTGGACAGGTGTGGCCTCATGTTCCCCAGGGACCATGACTTGGATCCTCTGCATCATTGATGTAGTGGCGGGAGCCGTCTTTGAAATGCTAAATGTTCGATTTAGCATTCACATTTGATTTTTGGCAGTAATCACGGAGTCAGCATGCAAGTCATTTCCTGCTCAACTCTTGCCCAGCAAGGCATCTTCTGATAAGATGTTTATCCTCATAGTTGCTCTTCACTGCCTTAAACATTTTTAACTGCTTTATATGTTGTGTTGTGCAGCAACTTTGTTGTTGTTGATTTTTGTCTCCTCCACTAAAGAATTGGCAGTCCAGCTCGCTTCAGCTCCCCGTCTGTTTTGTGTTTCCTAGACGTTCCCCCAGCAGAGCAGGAGAAGCTGTTCATCCAGAAGCTGCGTCAGTGCTGCGTCCTCTTCGACTTCGTCTCAGACCCCCTGAGCGACCTAAAATGGAAGGAGGTGAAGCGAGCCGCTCTGAGCGAGATGGTGGAATACATCACCCACAACAGGAATGTCATCACAGAGCCCATCTACCCAGAAGTAGTTCATATGGTCAGTGTCAAAGTAGTCACAAATGACTTCAGGTTCTCTGTTCAAAAATCTGGAGAAAATTCCCCCAGATGGGTTTCAAACGTCTATGCTAACTGTACCGTTTATCTCTGAAGTCGTAGTAAGAAAATATTTCCTAATTTAACGCACGGAAGTTTTTATTCTGAACCAGAAAGTTGCCTTCCTGGTCTCTTTCGCCCTCATTTCATCAGAGTTTGTTTTCAGTTGACTTGTAGTCTGATTTTACATTTAAATTAGCCTCAAAACTGGAAACACGAGCCCCTGATTTATTTCCCTAAATACAATTATCTAATCATCCTATCCACGGTTCGTTTTTACCAAAATGTTTAAACATTTTTTGCTGCTTCATAGTGGATGTTTTTCATCAGCTCGCCCTTCTCCCAGGGCTCGGACGTTCAGCAGAACTTTTTCCAGCATGTTCCCACGTTTGATTCGCGTGATGAACGGCTCGCTCGCTGCGCTCACGTTACTAAAGTTTGGCCTGTTGCCAAACCTTTTGAAATGGGAAGTGTCTTTAGAAAACCTGATGCATCACTATTTTGTTTTGCTTCAAAGTGTTTTGATCGATTGACTTGAAATGACCAGAGTGGATGGAAATCAGGGAAAAAAAAAAAAAAAGCTTCGATACTGAACTATTTTAAATTGAGGAATATTTAATCTTTTGTTCTTTTTATTCCAATTTTAATGTACTGAAAAGTGATATTGAACACACTGCAAACATTCAAACTAGGGATTGTCGTATTTACCGCACAATTAAAATCATGTTAACTGAGAACATATTGACCTCTCTGAGTATGTTTTCATCTCATTCCCCGGTCGAGGGTCTATAAAGCTCTACACCTTCTCTGCATAAACAGAGCAGAAACATTAGGGCTAAAATTGAGGGGGGGGGGGGGAACCAGTGGGTCTGTCTTAGTTTCAGTTTTGGGGTTTGGTACTGACAAAGATCGCAGCGAGGATTCTCCCACTCATTGCTTCTCACATAAACATGCCGGTAAGCGGCATGTTTTCCATAAAGCAAGTAGTGTGAAACAATAATATCTCCCTCTGGGTGGTAATCTCTCTGCTGTCTGATCAGCTCAGAGATATGTGGAGATGTGTGTTTCAGGCTTCATATTGAAAAAGTCTAAAGTACAGATTAGATCCTAGTTGGCTCCTTTTTCTTTTTCTTTTTTTTTTTTTTTTTTTTTTTTTTTTTTTTTTTTTTGCTGAATGACACGATAAAGGCTGAGATACAGACGGTATCTTCTAACGGACCCGTTTATCTTTGCCTTGACGTCTGTTTAAAGTTTTAAGTCACGATAGTCGCTAGGGCATTTCTGAACTCGCAAGCTCCTCAAACGTTAAAACGCTTCTGATCATAACGAGGTTGGTGGGAATTACGTTATTACATTACATTTAAAGACCCCGAAATCTGCAACTAAACCTTCTGTAGGTCCGATTCTGAACATTTATTCAGGCTTAGCTTTCGCCGCCCTCCTGCTGGTCCTCCAGGGTCGTGGTCAGGATGCATCCACGTTACCCGACTTGTTTTCCCAAGCCAAATTAAAAATCCTTTGATGTTAATCAAAGGATTTTACAATGTGGCCTCAGTGCCACATTGTAAACTGCAGATGATCAAGGTGCAAATATCCCCTCCGCTGTTGTTGAGGCTCTATTTGATCAGTGCTGCTGAAAATGCAGCCGAGCTGCCAAATCAGCATAGAAATGTTCTCTTATTCCTGCCAGCCTCTCTTTTTTTTTTTGTCTGACCCCCCCCTTAAAGACGAGGGCTTTTTGAAGTCCTCTAGTGGCTTTTATCATCAAAGTGTGGACTGACACGACAAACTCCTTCATGGTGATAAAGTGTGTATTCTTATGTTAACGCTGTCCAAGTGGTTTTCACTCCGGGGTCTTGGTGCTTTTTTCAGGACATGTTTGAGACCCTAAAAAGACCTTCAAATGTTTATCTTTACGGTTATTAAACACATTAGGAATCTGTGGTTTAGGGGTGAATTTTTGCAGTTGTTTTTTGCTAGCGAAATAGGTGTTGTGTTTGGTATGTATAGGGTGATTATCGATCTCCAGGTTTTCAAAAGGCTGCAGTTTGACAGGCACAAAAATTCTGCATCATTGGGAAAAGTCCAAAGTGACCAGAGTTTTCTGTTTGGAGCTCTGATGGCCCTAAACCAAGGGTCTGCAAGCTGTGAGGGGCTTCCACAATAGCTTTTAGCTAAAAATTAAACTGAACCAGTTACTGTTTTTAAAAATGGATTTAATGCCAGATGCAGGTTTTTACCTGTTAGTTTTTTTTTCCAGATTTTTCGACCTGTTTTCCTTGCCATTAGGTTGTAACCTGATTCTTTTCATTTTTATTATCTGTCCTCTTTTATTATTCTCTTTTTTTTTAAAGCCTAAAAATAGAAATTAAATGCTGTCCTGAGAGCAAAATGGCTCTTTATGTTCTAAGGTTGCAGCCTCCGACCCAAAGCTAAACACCCAAAGCTACTTTTAAATGGTTTACATCAGCGCATGTTTAATGTCGACAGTCAGTCATCAGATGTTATCTGGATGATCTCAGCTGATCTCTATCTGGTCTGATTGAGCTAGAGCTGGAATTGGGAGAAGTTTCATCGAAAGGCAGTGGAGGCACGACCTAAAGATTTTTAAGAGAACTACTGCAACTGTAGATGGTTGCACCAAATGCCACACTTTTCAGATTTTTAATTTGCTAAAAACAAACAAACAAACAAAAGAAACGTCTGCCTTGTTCACGAGACGTCAGCTAAAGTAAGAGTGAAGCTGGGATTGAGAAAAGGTTAATGTGCGAGCGCAGCATCGATTTCTGTTAGACTGACGGATGCAATCGGTCAGGTTCAGCCTTTTGGTGTGATGACGCTCTTTAGGAGATAACTGTGTGAAAAATAAAGTCCAAATGTTGATGCTTTTCCTCTTTGTTCCCCCCCCCGTCTCGCTCCTCCCCAGTTTGCTGTGAACATGTTTAGGACGTTGCCTCCCTCATCGAACCCCACCGGTGCAGAGTTTGACCCCGAGGAGGATGAGCCCACGCTAGAGGCGGCATGGCCACATCTACAGGTAACAACACAGTCACTAAACACAGCCGGAGTAAGCTTTCATATCCACTGGAAACTGGAAACCAATAAGTCAACTGATTGCTCTCTTCCCACAGCTGGTGTATGAATTTTTCCTACGGTTTCTAGAGTCACCAGACTTCCAACCTAATGTTGCCAAAAAGTATATTGACCAGAAGTTTGTAATGCAGGTGAGAACCTTAGCTTGTCAACGTTAAAGTGTCAAGAGGAAATGTCAATTTTTTTTAATTATTATTATTTTTTTATTACGCTCGTTGTCAGGTCATTTCTACTAATATTTGTATGTTTCTTTTGCTTTCAGCTCTTGGAACTGTTTGACAGTGAAGATCCCAGAGAGAGAGATTTTTTAAAAACCACTCTGCATCGCATCTACGGCAAGTTCCTGGGTCTGCGAGCGTACATTAGGAAACAGATAAATAACATATTTTATACGTGAGTGTGCTTTAGTCGTTGAGCTTGATCGTAAGCTGTCGTTTGCGTGAGTGTCGGCGGTCCAGTCAAAGCATGCGTTCTTCCCTAGGTTCATTTATGAAACGGAGCGCCATAACGGCATAGCAGAACTACTGGAAATACTCGGCAGGTAAGGCATTGATTTTGACAAAGTAATTGGAGAAAACATTTATTTATTTTTTTTAATAATTTTATGATAAAGGGATTAAAACAAATTAAGCATGGAATCATGAGGAGTCCTTGTACTTTGATAAAGCTGTCCAGTTCTGAAAAACAAAGATCTTTTTTTATACTGATGTATATTTTGAATGTCGTCTATCTGTGACTTCTTATACCACAAGCTATTCCAACTGTGCCTAGAAATAGATGCAGTCATTTAAAAATAAAAGCAAACATCACTGACACTCCTGACCACATATCGCAGATCAGAGACTGTGATTTAACTTGTACTTTGTGTGGGGTAATCCAGGGAACATACGGAGAAGTCTTATGTGTCACATTTTTAAATTGAGCTGACGTAAGCTGGTATGGATGCCAAACAAAAGTTGTGAAATTGCCCTTTATCGGAAGGCTCAATCTAAAGCCAACATCAGCATTTGTACCGTTGCAGGAACAAACAGGCAGTAACTAGATAACTCTTCTCTTCTCAAATGTCCAAATGTGGAAGAAGAACTGAGTTCTGAATCGAATCCGTTTTTTTTTTTCTTTATTATTATTATTTCAGCAGCAGAATAAAAAAAATTTTAATCGAAACTCTAGATATGATCCCATTTGCAGAGCGTGTTCTCAATGACCACTTTTCCTCATCCGCAGCATAATTAATGGATTTGCTTTGCCACTGAAAGAAGAGCACAAAATTTTCCTACTGAAAGTCCTTCTGCCTTTACACAAAGTCAAATCTCTGAGTGTTTATCACCCACAGGTAAGTACCCCCCCTCAGTGCAACACCTTTTCCCGTTTCCCGCTAGCTGCGCTTCAGAGGATGGCTGATGTGAGACTTGTGTTTGTGTTTCACAGCTGGCCTACTGTGTGGTCCAGTTCTTGGAGAAGGACAGCACCCTCACAGAGCCGGTAAGGTCGGACTCGTTAATGCCGTCGGGCCGTTTGTGTCGACAGTCGAATTAGCCGCGCAGACATCCTGCTTGTTTGGGTTTCATTAAAAAGACGCCACAGCAGTCTTCACCTGCAATGTGTTTTAAATCTCGTCAGCGAAGATGGTTTGTGTTTAGTCGCGGCTAGCGTTTAATTTTGAGACGCGGTCGGATACCACGTGTCACGTTTCAAAAGTTGTTGTTTTAGCAATTAATATTTAAGATTTTTAGTAATTATTTTAAATGTCCACCAGCTTAAAGGGAATTAAAATACTGTTTATATGTTAAAAATTTAAATTACATATAATGTTGCTGTAAATAAATGGTGCAAAATCAGAATTTCCTTCTGTAAACGGAGCTCTTGTCAAATTGTTATTCTTTTCTAGCCCTTCGTGTTCTAAGGTCGTCGTATCGGCCACCATCAATGATGTGGCAAAAATCTATTACTTCATCAGATGGACGTTTTTAGTGTAGTTGAATCTGCTGCTACACGCAGAAGCAACGTTGTGCTGTGCATTAAAGATGACTACCTCGCAAAACCCAACAGAAAGCCGACGCGTCGCTTCGTTGCCTCTGTATCGAGTCGTTTGTTTAGCTTTTCGACACGTGCCGCTTTGCGTTTCCTCCCCTCGTGCTCTCGCTTTGTGGGTAAAACTCTGCAGCAGTTTTTCCTTCAAGAAACGGTGACTCAACTCGGCACTGTTTTCATTATGAAGAGACGCTCTTATTGGACATTTTACGGGATTCTGTGCTTTGTTGAAGGTCTGCCTGTGATTGTGTAGCCCAACCCTTTCATCTTGTGAAAGAATATTGGGAGGCTGCTCTTGTTTCTTTTATTGCAATGCAAGATTGCAGCTGAAAAGCCCGTGTGGCAACAGATTCACGTGGTCACCCTGCACACACGGTGAACGGGTACTAGGAAGTTAAAAAATGAAAAAAATAAATAATTTCCTCAACTGTTGAGTATCAAATTTTGTAGTGGAACTTTTGGCTGAAATACTGCAGATGCTGTCAAACAATTTGATTTCCATTCTTCTAACATTGGTCAACATCATAAACCCCAAAAATAAATATATAAATGCTGAAAGAACAGCATACTCAGAGCAGTAACTAAGCCAAAACCGTACAAAAAATACATACATGTTTGCACAAAATAATAATAAACGTAGTCTGTACCAATTTCTTTATTCCTATAATCAATAGAGTAATAAATTACTAAATTAATTGTTAGTTGCAACTCTAGACCCTTGTTGTAGTAGAAGTGGGCAACATGAGAATAATACTGTAGATTGTTTTTACAGGAACAGATCATCGTATCGTCTGTAATACATCATCTTTGTTCCGCTGCTTTACGCTCCAAATAAGAGTCGTGTTAAGGTTTATGGAAAGCGTTGCTGCTCTGTCCTGGGTGTGATCTTTGTAACTATATTGCCCTCATTAACAGAGCTCTTCTGACTCCCTGTGAATCTGCTGTGTGTGTGTGTGTGTGTGTGTCCATGCAGACTGTCATGGCTTTGTTAAAATATTGGCCAAAGACCCACAGTCCAAAGGAGGTGATGTTCCTCAATGAGCTGGAGGAGATCCTGGACGTCATCGAGCCCTCGGAGTTCGTCAAAGTCATGGAGCCTCTTTTCAGACAGCTCGCCAAGTGTGTGTCGAGTCCACACTTTCAGGTTCGGCTGGCTCCCTTTCTCCATCGGCCGTCTCCGGTTACTTTGTTTTCGTCTTTTTGTTTGTTCGCGTGACGTAAACCGTGGGACAAACTGTATTGTTTAGGTGGCCGAGCGCGCGCTCTACTACTGGAACAACGAGTACATCATGAGCCTGATCAGCGACAACGCCGCCAAGATCCTTCCCATCATGTTTCCAGCCCTTTACCGCAACTCCAAGACCCACTGGAACAAGTGAGTCCGGGGCTCGTTGTTTTCTGTGCCGCGTACGCGGGGGTGTGTTGTAGTCGCCTAATTGTTGTGGGCTAAACGAGCGAGCCACAGGAATGTTTGTGTGCCCGCAGGACAATCCACGGCTTGATTTACAACGCTCTGAAACTCTTTATGGAGATGAATCAGAAGCTGTTTGACGACTGCACCCAGCAGTTCAAAGCGGAGAAAAGCAAGTAAGTCGATGGCGAGTCGCGCTGACATTTCCAGGGTAGCTGCATTAAATTTGACCTCATTAAGCAGATGCATAAATCACTGGAAATGGAATCGGAAGTGGAAAACATGACTAGCTTTGTTTGGAGAAATAAGCTCACGAACCGCTTTGTTGTCTTAGAGAGAAAAGCAAATGGAAGGAGAGAGAAGACGCGTGGCTGAAGATAGAGAATCTCGCAAAGTCCAACCCACAGGTGAGACGAACACACACCAGCAGTTTGACGGACGTCTGGTCGAAGCAAGCTGCGCTCTCTTTCGCTCCGATTTTGACCGGAGTCACGGACCCTTCACCTGATACAGTCTCAAATTTGTCTTCAAGGAGGGACTAGATGCAATCTAGGTGCAATCTAAGTCACTTTGTGGCGCATAAGCATTGATAACATGCAGGTTTCAGTCAAGCTTACACCAGTGACTCTTATTATTCGTCTTTTGTGCCTGTGTGCAGTTTTTGGTGTGCATTGACCCTCCAGGATCAGGCGGTCCGATGGACATGGAGACAGATGTGCCGCTGATAGAAGATGTCAGTGTGTTAAAGCAAACAGTAGAGGAGGGAGCCACACAGGTCAGTGTGGAGTGTAGCAGCGAAGACGCTCATCCGGTTTCCAACGTGCTAAAAGAGAGACTGATTCGCTTCCAAGTCTATGTAAAAAGTGACTTAAAAAAAAAAAAAGAGAGAGAGATCTGATACTCATGAGTTCACTAGTTAGTGTTCAGTTTGGCTTTTTATGTTAGGGATGAGTGGTTGGAGTTCAGTGCCAGCTTTTACGTTGTGATTCTAATGATTTCTGTTCAGGCTTTAGTGAGGCATAAAGTTATATTTACTTTGCAGAAACCTTGCAAAAATACTCACACCCTTTGGGATATTTCACTTTTGCCATAAACAATTTCTGTGTATTTCATTGAGATTTTGTGTAATTGTGTTGGGGAATAATTATTTATTTATTTCCCGAAATGAAAATCTAAAATAGTGCAAAATCTATTCAGGCCCTTGCATAAACTCCAGTGCAACTACTTGCCCTCTGAAATCACCCCATTAGTCGACAGTCTTCATGTTTGCAACCAAACTCGGTAATAACAGCTTTTCTGCGCAGACCTCAACAGCTTGTCCGATATATTTGTCTGCAAACTGTTTCATGAATGTTAAGGAATACAATGGGGGAAAAGCTGGGGAAGATTAAAACTAATTTTAGTCATAATATCAACTTATCCCAAACTTTGAAAGCCTGGTTTAGCAGCTTCTAGTATGTTGTTTGAAAATAAATGTCCACCGATGCTCTTCATCCAATCTGAACTATTTTATTAAACAAGAATGGGATTAAAAAAAAATCACTACGCTTGGTGTTGGTGTTTCACGCAAAATCCCAATGAAATACACAAAGATTAAAACCTGAAGGCAAGTTGCTGTGTCAAGGTTTATTAGACGAGCAAAAAGTTTGCATGCTGCTTTGATTTTGCAGACCTGCCGTTTCTCCACGTTGCGAAGCGCTTGTCTGCTCCGCACGTCCAATCTTGCCGTCGGTGTGAGTCATTCGCACAGCTGCTCATTCGGCTGCATCGTGCTGGAAAAGACGCGCCGAAACGTTACAGTGACGGCTGTCGAGAGTGGCGACCGCTGGCGCAGAAGCTAAATGACCGCGCAGCAGAGCTGTGCGCGGCGTCGGCGCCGGTGTTTTTGATCGGCGCGGGTGTTTTTGACTGACGCTCGTCTTTTTGTGCACAGATCCAAAAAGATCAGCGCAGAGAGCGGCCTCTGGTGAGGAGGAAATCAGAGCTTCCGAAAGACATCTCCACCGTCACGGCGTTGGAGTTGCACCGAAGAGCCGAGGAAATGCTGACGACGCACGACGCCCACTAAGAGACAGAGACCAACCTTAACAATGAATCCAAAAAAGAAAAGAAAGAAAGGAAAAAAAAAAAGTAAATAAATAGCAGTGGCGGCATCCACGAGGAACCACAGGTCCACGGAGGGCCAGCACAACAACAGAACTCTGGTATCTCAGCGCAGCACAGTGCAGAACAGGCCAAGAAAACTCCCGACACTGAAAATGTCTGAAGCTATCCGTTTTAAGTAAGCTTTGAAAAGGACAAGCGGTGCTCGTCCTCCCTCACTTCCCAACGCCCGCCCTGCTGGGATGCAGAGACCAGTCCTGATCTCTACGTCTCTTCCCCCAAAACGAGCGTTTTTTTTTCTCCTCCTCCCTTGTTTCTCTGTCTCCTCAGCTTGTGTTTTTGAGGTACTGTGCTGCCCTCTTCTGGTCATTCTTCTCAGGTGTTCTGTTCAGTGTGTGAGCTGTCTGATCTTCTTGCCTCTTATCTATAGATGTCAGGTGCTTGTTAAAATAGTACGAGCCCTTAGCTATATTAGGTTGAAGATTTAAAACAAACAAACAAAAAAAAAAAAACATAATTTGGTGAACCAAGTCAGCTGTTTCTACATATATACGTATATATTTAATAGCTATTTTTCTCATAACATTTGAACAAAACAGCTGTCTATATTTTTCCGTACGTAGTATATGAGGAGCTCGTCTCATTAAAAAAAAAAAAAAAAAAAAACTTAAAGAAGAGGAGACGCTTCTTTTAATGTGTAACCATTTTGTTGGTTGCTCTGATGTTTTTCATTCCCTCGACGAAAACGGACCCGCCATCGGGGTTTAATCAGTTGGATTCATCCACGTCTCTGTGAAGAAGTCTATTTTGGTGCCAACTGCTTTCACGTTTTCCACTTCACTGAAAAAAAACTTTAGGTCAGTAGGCAAAACCCCAAAAACCTGGTCTGCAGCTTCACTTACTCATATGATGGGATTTATTTTTCAACCCGTCCATTCGCATCCATTCAGAACAAGTCATCAATACGAGGCTTTTACGAGCACTTGAAGAGAGGTGTGGGTTTGACGCATGTAATCGAGCAGAAATTGGGTGGATTTTTTTTTTTTTTTTTTTTTTTGCTACGCAACTCTCGCTAGAAACCGAAGAGGTGCGTTTTAGTTTTTCAAGCCTTTCCTTTCACAGTGCCTTTTTTTGTCATCGAAAGGGGACATTTGCTGCAGATTGAAGTATTAACAATATGTTAACGTGAAATGCCAGCTCATTGGAGAAATTTGTACAATTAGTACAAAAAAAAAAAAATCCGACGTGTTCCGAGCAGGGCGCGTCGCGCTGCTTGGCCTCCCGCACCTTGCCTTGTCGAATCCCCGTAGCCGAGAGCGGAGGCGGTGCGGTCTCTCTCCCCCACCAAGCAAGCCACTTCAGCGAATTAAGCACTTCCTGGTAAAACTTGAAAGAAAAAGGAAACACAGCATGTAAAAAAAAGTAAAAAAATAAATAAATGAAAAAAAAAAAAAAAAGTAGTGCAGAGTTGAAATCCGTGATGCTGTCTGTGTTAGCGTGAAGGGGTCGCCCGCGCCCTCATCCTCCCCATCCCCCACCCCGCGGTGCCTGTCATAAAGAGCTCGCCTCCCATCTCAACCGTCCCATTCCCCCTTTATGTTTTGTTTTCACCCCGTCCGCTCAGACCTGCGCTCTTCCCCCTTTTTCCTCAGCGATGAATTGGAAAAAAAAAAAAAAGGAAGATCTGCTTCTGGATGCTCTCGAGTTCATTTTGTTGTGGTTTTACTCCTCTTCTGCCTGCAGAACCTCGTCGTCAGTGTTTCAACCGAATGTGCAAATTGTAAATTATATGGAAAGTCACTGTTCTGTTCTAGCCATGTTTGTCCTGGAGAACAACGGTCACCAAAAGGTGCGCGCCAACGCCTCTCCTTGCTCCTTTTACTCTAGACTCTTGCATGGAACGGAAACGGGCGCGGGAGGACTGGACTCGCTGGACCCTGTTGGTGTCTCTTGTTCTTAAAATGGCTTTAATACTGGCTTCTTTGGAGCTCTTTTCATTTTACATAAGCTTTGTTTTCTCTTTGAAAAGATTATTATTTTTTTTTTATTGCAAGTGTCCTTTAGTATTTGTCATACTAAATGGCTGGCTTCATTGTACATATGTACTTTTATGTTATATCTATTATTAAATGGTAGATTTCATATTTTGTACAAACTATCCTGTGTATAGAAATCAGATATTCTTAGCAACTGCAAACGGTTGGTATGTGGCACAAAGTTCAACACGTTAAAACTATCGACGGTTAGGAAAACGGCTAGGATTTTCATTTTCTTTTCCAGTCTTTGTAGACCAACGTCTTTTCCGTTTTGAATCTTCCACATCCAGCCATGTTTTTTTTGCTCCTTACATAAATGAGGTTTTTGTGCTTGCTTTTATCCAAAACCTTCAGTGGTGTACATCTATCTATATACAACAAATAAAGAGAACATGTGAGTTTTATATTTTCATCCTAAAAACGCTGCTGTGACTCAGTCTCTTTGCGCTCAGCTTTTTTTTTTTTTTTTTCCCAGTGTGTGCTGAAAGATTAGTCATTATTTATTCTCAGGTCCTACTCTTTTAAAAAATTTTCATGCCTTGTCCAGTTATATAAAAGTCGCATCCATCAGTCTACTCATCCTTCCGTTTGATACAAATACCCATCATTCATCTGTCTTCCCATCCTTCTATCGTTCGTTGATGGTTCTCCATCCAACCATCTCTCCATTTGTCCATCAGCCATCTCTGTCCACTCAGTGGTCCTCCAGTCGTTCTTCCACCCATCTGCCAACCATCTGACCGTCTGTTGCACACCTATCAATCCAACTATCACTCCCATTTGTCCATTATCCATCCCTCCGTTTCTATCCAGGTGTCTTCAAACCATTAATCTGTCCATGTCACTTACGTCTTCCTTCTTCTGCAAATGTAAAAAAAAAAAAAAAAAAACATTGGAAACTCTACAAGGAAAGTTTTGAATTTTGACGTTAAAAGTGAAAATACTCTATTAGTTCACTAGAAGAAAGCTCATTAGAATCAAATCTAAGAAATATTTGGAGTTTTAATCATCTCTCCATCTGATTTTGACTAAGCAGGAAGTGATGATTCTGTATAAACACTTGATAAAACAGAAACCATTCAAAGACCCAATGCTGCCTACTGGACATGTTTAGAAAAAGGTGGTGTTTGCTGCCACTTGGTGGACGTGGAACAAAAAGACTGCAGTTTAGGTAGGTCCAGTTCGTCGTAGATGCTTATCATAATAAGTTATAATTCTTTGAACAGTGCACGTGCTTTATGTTTGAACTTTTCATGCATCAGTCTTTGTCCGGCCAACTCTACAGAATTTATTCTTTTCGACAACTCTTCTCGTCATGACACATACGACTTCAAAGCAGATTTTGATTGATTTCATCTTGTGTTTTACACATGAAACCACGTTGGCCACAGCACCTAGAAAAAGTATAATTGCCCCTTTAAAATGTTTTTTTTTTAAAAATGAAAACAACAAAATCAATACTTTAATTCTGCAGTGGAATAAAAATGAATGGGTTTTCAAAACAAGTGTGACAAATCTAAAAAGTGTGCAGTTTGTTTGTATTTAGACTCCACCACTCTTCCTCTCACTCCATTTCCAACTTCAAGTCTTTTGAACATCTATCGTCTGTTGATATCCATCTTCAAAACATGTTGCAGTTTCTCTAATGGATTTGGTCATTTTAGATCTGAATTTGTTCCAAATATTCCAAACGTTTAGAGTCGCCCTCCTGCAAGGTGAAAACTTCAAATCTTTCTGCAGCTTCATAAGTTTTTTTTTTTAATTATTATTCTGAATGTATCTCCACCCAGTTTTTTCCTGTCCATGCGTGGAAATAAAAAAAATAAAAAAAAGCCTTCCCATGGCATGACTCTGCTGACGTCGTGTTTCGCCTGTAAGAATGTGTGTGTTCAGGTTAGTACCTAGTTTTCTATCAAATCTTTTTTTTTTTTTTTCGCTCGTTTGCTTCAAAATCAGAACCTCCTCCTCCGAGTTTGCTGTAAACTGCAAGTTTAGCCACTTCTGACTTCTTTTACGTTAATGTAACAAAATACAAAAAACAAAGTTGCAGAGTGAAGGATAGTTTTTTGAAAAGCAATGTGTTTCACTCTCCCCTCCACACCCTCCCAAAAAAACTTTATTTTTCTCAAAATAGTAAAATATATATTCTCTTTATATTTTATCAGATGAATTTCCACTTGTATTACTCTAAAAAGCAGCATGCGATTCTTTTACTCGCAAGCAGCAAAGCGCTCCCTGAGGCGTCATCTGAAGGACACCGCTTATTACTATCATTTTTTTAAAATTATTATTTCCAGAAGATGTTGCTAGGTGCCGCCATCAGCTGTTACTGTTTGCACAAACACTCTCCAGATTGTCTCTCTCTTCTAAGGTCATCGAAGTTCGCCCGTTCCTCTTAAAGGAACAGTGAGGCACGATTTTTAGCATCTGGCACCCCTGCTGGCAACTTCGTGGAACCTAAGTGAACATGTATTGGGCCCCCATTTTAGTATTTATTTTTTATTTTTTTTTTGCATAGTGATAGCGATATAATGATGATGATGATGCATCTGTTTAGGGGGGTGAGAAGGTCCCCCCACCCTCCCTCTGCGTCAGCAATTGATTTGATCTTTGATCGAGCAAATCCATCCCCGCGTCATGTTTTCGTGCCTATTGCTGGATTAAAAAACTTGCTTCTATATTTACTGTGAGAGGACAGAGCAGTGTGGCACAATAGCTCTTGCTCCTAAATGCCTTCCTTAATGAGGATGCCGCCCCCTCTCCCCTCACACACACACACACACACACCAAATAAACCAAGTTGCCTCATTATCAACACATTGTTCTCCAATTATCTAAGGAAATATTCCTCCAGGCTGGATGCGTCACTAAAGATCGAAATACGTCAGTGGTGTTTTTTTTCCTTTTCTTTTTTGGTGGGTGGTTAAAAGGCTCTGTGTATCCCTCCCTCTCCGCTCAGATGAGGTCACATGGGTTCACTTAATTTGCCTG